CACTCCCCGGGGTTCACCGCAAATAATATAACGTGCGTACGAGCACTCAGTTTTTAGTTGTTTATACGCAACTACGTTGACTGCCGGGAAATGCGGATGATGACGGATTACGCCTGTACTGGGAAAACCCATATAAGTACCGACACGCTGAGAAGCTGCGGCACATTTCCCAATCATCTTCCATCGCGACAGTATCATTAACATAATTGAGAGTTTCGGCGATATTGTCATTACTGCGTCGCGCAGTGCTTCCCGCTGTTCAACTGTGCACTTTTGTCTGTAATCAATATCCACGTTGCCCTGTTGCCACGGAATTACTCACGTACTTAGCGGAAATAACAACTGTCTTTTTTTTCATACTACGGTGTGAACTCAAGACGTTTCCGAGCATTTTGCGAAGTTTTACTTACGAATCATGAACAACACGACCTGGTTCTGGGTAGAATGCGGCGACCAGACGGCGCAAGACATAACGGCACTTGTACTGACCACAGTTGGTATTGTGGGCAACGCCGCCTTCCTGTACGTTATCATATCCTTACGAGAAATGCACACCACTACGAACATATACCTCGCCAACTTAGCAATTGCCGATCTGATATTTTTAGTACTGAACGGAATCCAGCCTTTTTGTTATGTCATAGGGACTGAGATATGTGCGCCGTTACTACTCAACATTGAGTTTCATTGCATCAGCAACTTCATAGCCAGCACGGGCTTCTTTGCCGGGATGATCATCGTCGGGGTAATCGCCATTGAACGCTACTGTGCCATTTGCTACCCATTGCACGGTAACGGATGTTTGTATTGGATGCGAAAGATATCGTGGATCCTGCAAGCATTGTGTTGGCTCTTAGCTATTCTACCAAGTATTACCCCCTTGCTCCCCTGCTATGGCAAAGACTCTACTTATACCCAGATGGCGCAGACTATGGTTTTGATTCCCATGTTCTTCACCTTGACGATACTGGTGTTCGTCCTGTACATTCGCATGGCTGTCACGCTGCGCAAATCAGCGCGAAACAACGTTCTCAATTCACCGGCTGCCTGGGAAACAGAGAGGCAAGTGATGCGCATCTGTCTGATAACTGCTGTACTCTACATCATCTTCATGTTCCCGTATATTCTGAGACTTATTGAAGAATTCCTGATTCTCTACTTTTCGTATTTCGCCGCTTTCAGTACGTACCCGTGTTTTCGTAACGTTGCTATTTATTTCTTAATGGTGAATGCCTCCATCAATCCCGTGGTGTACAACGTTGCCAGTTCCCGATACAGAATCGCTTTTAAAACAGCATTTCGTTGTAATTAATGTTGCGATCAATTCGCAGATATATATAATGTTTCCCGCGGACATACGCCGAACGCGTTTTATCCGTCATCCACGAAATATCAGTAATGTTTAGTGGTTCTAATATACATATAAATGTACCCTGCTAATGCGTTTATGGCCAAGGGAAGCCTTCTCAGCTCAAACGATCGTCTTTGCGTTTAATGGATTTTACAGAGAATTAAATTGAAGTGTTTCGCATGATGACTATACATTAATATAATGCATTAAGAAATAATAAGATTCTACGAGACGAGGCACCATTTAGGTGACAGAGAAATGACAACCTCTTTAGGGTGCATGATATTGAAGTATTATTTTAGCATGCATGTTAAATTGATATTTGATATTGCATGTTGTATACACATTGAGCTATGAGCATGTACAGCGTTTTAACCTCTGGCTATTATTGAATTAATACTTGGTACGTATAAACAATTGACAGCGCATGTGCAATATCGTAAAAAACTGCTGGGACATACTCAAAGTTTTCTTTACAATTTGTCACATCGATATCGGCGTATGTTGTATGATATATTTTGGACGCGACGAGGTGACAGTCGAATTATTCAGGGTATTGCTTAACTTTCGAAAGCGTCTAATTCAGCCGGGTATAGGTTCCCCAATAGTTATGTGTTTAATTCTGAATCAAATTGGCAGGTTGTGATAATGAAACTGTACATTCATATTATTTCCTGATTGGAGCGCTGATGCGAAAGTAAACTTTGTGAATTTGTTAATTATAAAGTTATTAGGTGGGGGTATATCAAGGAATGGGAGAGAATAATCTACCAATTGCTTGTATTAGTAACTAGACATCTATTTGGATAGATGCATGGAATGATTAAAACACATAGTCAACGAGGACGAAGACGAACGTCGACTTGACGCAGATTATAAACTTATAAATTCCATGCTGATACGTTCATAACGTGTTGGAGGACAACTTGGTATTTGATGTCACAATTTATCATTATCGTCATTCTTTATCAGAATTTAGTATCCTGGATTTATGTAGGAAGTTTTCATAGTGGCGATTAGATCAGAGCGAGTACGTGCGTCTACGTATACTGATGTTCGCTAATCTCCGCATAATTATGTTTATTACGTAATGTTTAATGATAACAAATTTGAATTCCTGCCACGCTTTCTGCGATATGATGTCATCATTAGAGTGTTCTGTATAACATTGATGTATCGACAATTACAGATGATATTTACAAAACAGAGCCACCTGCACCAGCATCGCTATTTTCGTCTCCTTGTTTTATTTTTTCATTTAGTCCGTGGTGTCACCGTCTCGAGGGACGGTGGAGGTGTGTATACCCTTAGTCATGTAGAACGACGGTTGAGCAGTAGAAATAAATGTGTACCGATAATATAAGCCCGACTAGGTTGAATTTTATTTCAAACGAAGACCCCTATTCCCTCCTTACCGCTTGGCCCAAAATTCACGTTCGTATTTCTTGTAAATGAACAATGTATTTTACACGCGTTGTATACGTCGCTATGAGTCCAATATCTAACAGGACGCGGCGCGACAACTACCGCCCTTAAAGCACACGTTTAGCAGAAGTAGTCTCATGAACGAATGGGTATTCGGTAACAAAAGTGGTCTGTTAAAAACTAAAGCATGCTTTTAAACAATATTATATGTTAAACAAAGTAGACGTTTATCCAGATCATAGCGGGCTTATATAGAGTCTAAATAATTCATTTAAATGTTTTTGTAATGCATGCAATTAGCTTGTCGATAGTTAATTGATTGAATTACGTGTGTATAACACACATTGGAATCACAGCCGTGATGGTTTATGTTAGTGTTTGGGAACTATTATGTAACACATTAGTACTTATTGGCACAGAAATATGAAGAAAAAATAACACGATCATCTTGTGAAAGAATGTTAAGGTTTTGTTCTTACATACACGTGTATCCTCGTATACTAAGTGGACTTTTAAAAGGAAATCGTATGTTAAACAAAGTGGTCTATTATTCTTTTAAATGCAGATCATAATGTCGTTACCGGTTTATGGATTCTAAATAATTTATTTAATTAAATGTAATGTATATATGTAGACTGACTGCTTAATTTATTGTATTACGTCTATACTAGACACATGACGATCACAGAATGACGAATGCTCATGGAGGTTTATGTTCACGTTGTTTGAACTAACACAAGTATGACACTTGTTTTCGGAACATACTCGAGTAAGTGATCATCAAGACAAAATGATAAATATCGTTATACCTAGGAGAAATTGGTTAACTACGCAAAGGACAGTGATAGAGAACTTTTAACGTCAAAAAAGGAAACCATATACTATCATTATAGCAGTGCTCACAATTAATTATATTTAAGAAAGAGGTCTAGTTCTTGCATTCGTGCTTACTCCCACACAAATACGGAAAGAAAAAAAACATGATCATCTTGTTGGAAAATGTCATATATACATGTATATTACTCGGTTACACGGCTCTGCATATACTCTTTCTCTTTCGTTGCCCGGGCAACTACTACTCTATCAAGGGGGTCGCCGTTGACGTCTTATATGAGATGTTTTCGTTTTCCCACTGCGAGCCTAATGCCATAAAAAAAGAATGCACATTTCATTGAACTTTTCATTACATATTTAACGTTTCAAAACATGAAAAGAAACCGCTGAAATTGAGCAGTAATCGAAGGCTGAGAAAAAATTAGGCGGTCCACATGATTATACCGCGAATGCTCAGCGAAATAACCATCCAAATGACATATAGAAATATCCTTAATAGGGTTTCCTATCTCCTTAATGTAGTTGTCCCGTGTTTTAAATCACAGCTATATTGGGTGTGATCGTGGATTCGATTATTCGTGTATGCGTAGACATCGGTAATGCAGTAATGATAGTACGTAATGGGTGTAACAGGGTTTGGTACACATACAGAATACGCATGATCGTAGGCAGATTATTCAGTTTTCTGCTCAGTATATCGATTTTGGAATCTTATGTGTGGCATTACACCACCCCTGAGCCTAGCATGTCGAGATTTATTGGTTGTGACGATAGTGCGGGATTTGTTTTTTGTACTAAGAATGTTTACAACCAGATTGGGTAACCCGCGTATATCAAAGTTGACCTCGTTAAGAATACATTTGCGAAATAATGGATGCCACCCATACTCGCTGCAGATGTTGTCTATTCGGCTGTCAGTACAATTACATATATCGGAACATGACAGAAAACCCATACTTAGAGAATTATTACTGCGATGATAGAATTGGAATTAAATTGTGAACGTCTATGCCCTCAAGAAAAAAAAAGTCTTCCACATATTGGAACAACAACTCTAAGAGAAGTAAAGCAATTGTACAGTTCTCTTCTACCATCGCCCCCAGAGTTTCTAATGGTCCATCCCTTAGAATAGTGATTGGCAACAGAAGTCCACAACTACACGTACTGCTACAACTCCTTCAGGCGCGCGCCATACCACCTTACATGCCGATTAAAAAACACATTCTAAGATAATAAAACTTGACAACTATACGCAATCAAATTAGTATCCATGACAACAACTCAAGTCCAGTCGCGTAGATTACGTCTTAATTAAATATTTATTTCCACGGGCAATGAGATACGCCTCGTAAAAATCGTTATATAATTATATCATAATGGACGTTACAACATAACGATAGTCAGTCGCGCGATGAGAATACTTAAAACGGTGACACTACTTCGGTTTAAAGAGATGAGTGTTGGAGTTTTATTCTTAATGTAACTTGTAGTTAGTAATGAACATAAAAGCTCGTCAATTTTGCGATGACGTGCAATAAAAACGTCTATTTTACTTGCTATTGTCTTACCATTTTTATGTAACGTATTTATGTTTGAACTGCGTATTTTTGGCGAGTTTTAAGGATTTTTGAATCCATCTGATATTTATTTAAAAAAATTGTCTTTGTTATACCAAAATAATATCCCTGTCATGTAGTAAAATGTTAGGATGTACGAATAGCATCCATACATTTTGAAGGACAGTTTGTGTTTGAGCAACAACAGACATGATTAAGATGAAAACGGCCGCTGAGATCTCATTGAGAGCTAAATAGCTAAAATATTTGGAGAAACGAGTATCGTGACTTAACTTAATGTCGGTGGTTATTTACGTCTATAGTCTATCATGGGTCACATGACCTGGCACACTACACCTTGTTGTCTCGTTTGGTACAACGAAGCTCATTTGGCTCATCATTATTACATGCAGTAACAATACGCAGCACAGGCACCAACTTGTACACACATGTATATCTTCATATCGTATGCATTGAAACGAGAATATGAAACATGTGGAGATTTGATTGTTTGCATCAGTCAGAAGGCTGACGAAGGCCGAATCGACTGTGCTATCGAAAGCCAACTCTTCGTGACGTCTTCTTCTCATCAATTTTCTAAAACGATTTTCTGAGTGTCATTATAAGTTAATGAATTCGTCGTAACCCGAGGGTGCTTTCCATAATTTGATATGTCGTCTTCTCTCTTGTACTGTCATGTGATTTGTCTCAATTCTGTTTAATATTATAGTGCAAACTTCAGTGAGACTTGTGGGACGTCTCGCGGGAATCCAGCGCGTGACATTAAACAACCGAGTACACGGCCTGTTGATGTAATTCCTGTAATTCGTTAGCAAGTATGGGTCTCGAAGAATGTCACCGCGTTTGTAGGTTTTATTTACCAAATACGCGGTTGTCTCCGGAGATTTGAGCAAATGAAGGCAATAACTTAGAGAATCAGCTTAGTTCAGTTACTCGTTCTGTCACACATTAGTATGGCAGCGCCCGTGAAAGGATGTAAAATCCAGTTTAGGTTCCGGATGTCTGTGGAAACAACTGGTCGGTCTCGGGGTCTATTACTCGAAAAACAATCAAATGACAATAACATCTTTCTAATTGCATATTATTGTACATAAACAATTTACATATCGGTCACATGATATACTA